TGATTGTTGTAAGCCTGATATGCCCCCAGCTTGGTTTACTTTGTACACTGCCTAAGACAGTCTAGATAGCTTGTGATGTGTTGGTAGTCTGGAAACGAGGTTGCTCTGTAGACCCTAAGGTTTTATTTTATTTGGGTGATGTGTAACTTAAAAGTTCCCTCTCATCTGTGTCTGGCCAGACCTACCGGCCTGCTGTCAACTGCACAGCCACTGCTTTGGCTTTTGCAATAGATAGCAGGCACCTTTTTTTTTCCAGTGGTTCTTTAACGTCAATATCATTCTTTTACATTGCAGTATAATGATGTGATGTAATTATCCAGAGGAAATAATATGCATGTCTGCTTTCAGTAAATAACAGTAAATAACAGTAAATAACAGTAAATGCTGTTAAGTTTAGCTTTCCTTTGTCATTAAGAGAGCCTAAGCAGCATAAGGGTTCTTCCTGCCAAGTCACTCAGTCTGCTCTATTCTATATTATTTAATATTTTAGAATGTGGTACTTTAAAAAGCCAGCATGGTCAGCCAAAAGTAATTTTTCATGAATATGCATCTCCCTGTAGAGCAGTTACATAATTTTAATCTTAACACACACACACACACAAATAAAGAAAAAAAAAATCATCATTTTTCTTGTAGCTACTTGCAAGATCCTATTTTGTCTGTGGAGTGTTTCCAAAGAAATCTATTTATGCTTCTGTTTTCAAGTGTTTTACAACTTAGTGCTGAATTGACTGTGACAGTTTAAAATCACCTGTTTGGTTTCCTACTTCTGCAGTATAATGAAAACAACAACTTCTGTACTGTTTTGTGAGTAGTGAACACCAATGCTGATGAGTTTTCATTTATGCTTAGCTCAGTCCAGGTACCTGAGATGAAGAATGTCAGTAACGGTGTACATATGCAGTTGTATGGCAACTCTGATAGTAGACTTCTGTGATAAGTGCAAGGGGAACAAAAGCTGGATATTTTTAATTTGTTTATATTTGCAAAACAGTGGCATAAGCAGACCCAGACGATAGTTTTCTGTAGAATTTGCATTAAGGAGCCTGAAGATGTTGGACTTGGAAGTGTTGTGGTGTTACCACTGAAGTGATGGGTCCATTAGGGAAATCTCTGTAGCTTCTGTTTATGAACCATCTAAACCAGGGCTCTTAAGAGGGCTTCTGTTTTTTTATGGAGGGGAGGTGCTGTGCTGTGCACTTAACAGCAAGTGCACAGGGTATAGCTTTCCATGCTGATGATTCGTTTCTGCCCATGTGGGTGCTCTCACCCAATGCAGTAACTGAAAGAATGACAACAGTATGCTGTCACTGCCTCAGAGCCCCTAACAGGCTCACGACTTGTGTGTCCGAGCTGCTGCAAAATTCATCTTCACATCACAAGTCGTCCCTCTTGCAATTTATTGCTGGCTCCTATAGTCCTCATTACCCAGGTATTTCCCTTGCTTCCCCTTGTGTGTCCTTCGTACAGGAAGGGCTCTACAGCATGGCTTCTCCAGGGTGGAGCTGTTTTAAAAAATCTCTGTGGGTAGGAGCTGGCTGCAGGCAGGCTGCTTATGTGCTCTTTGGAGGCTGGCAACAACCTGCAAGTCATGAGTTATTACTTCCTGCAGGGAAGGGAAGTTTTAATCCGCTCTTGTAGGGGAGGAGTGGAGGAAATGTTTTATGTGAACAAAAATGCTCGTGTTTAGTTCCTGTGTTTCTGCACAGTTCAAACGTCAGAGTAAACGCCTCAGACAGCCAAATGAGTTTCAGTGATGAGAAAAGGAGGTGGTTTGGTTTTGTGTTCAGATTTTTGTGCTTTGCTGTCTGTTTGATCCACCTCCATGCTCCTCAGCAGGATCCTACTTGTAATATATGCTAGTTGAAGGTATTTTCTTGCTATTGTGTTTTGAAGGATTCTGGTAACTGTTATGCATGCATGCATGCATAAGAGCTTAGAAAAGCAAATCTAGCTCTGGCTGCCAGCGTAACCTTTCTACTCTTAAAGCAAATAATCTTAAGAAAAAGCATGTAAAGGTCTTGAACAAGATTAGAGCTGCACTGTGTGCTTACAGTGATTAAATGAAGAAGAAATGTAGGGGAGTTATAATGTTTGACCAAACATCAAGCTTTCTGACCTATACCTACAGAGAAATTTCTGTCATTTGTTCCCAAATTTCCAATTGTAAAACAGAAGTAACAGATTAGTATGGAGTTCAGCTCTTTAGTCTTAAAACTCAGTGCCGTTGCTTTCAAACAGAACAGCCTGGTGCTCAGACAGGTACTGAGGAGTTAAATGCTAACTGTGGTGCAGTATTGAAACTAGCAGGTTTTGTCAGTGCTCACCTGTACCTGCCCTAGGAATACACCCCACCCAACACAGCAATACTTCAGCTTTCATCGGCGTGCCTGCCAGCTGCTGTTCAGAGGTCTGATAAAACTGCCAAGAGTAGCTCTACTTCATCAGTACTGAGTACAAGGGGGTCTGTCTGTTCTTTGCTTAATTCTGACTAGTTCCAACTATGGCTTTTTCTGTTACACGCATCTGACATAAGATGCCACATTAAATAAGCTTGGGAACAAAAAAGTGGTTTGGGTTTGTCTCGGGGGGTGGGTTTGTGTAAGTAACTGAGTGAATTTTGTGTTTAACACTCGATTTTCTCTGTCTATTGTCAGCAGTTTCTGACTAAGGCTAGCTTGTTCCTGTTGTCACTACAGGTGCCTTCTCCATCTCCCAACAAGCACTCCATCTCCCTTGTGTAGTGAAGTAGTTGTTTGGTCTAACTAGGGAATTAGCTGTCAAGTGGCAGGGACAGAAAAGCTGGATTATTTTTTCTCTCTTTCCTTTCAGTTTCTCTGTCCTAGGTATTTGTTTTTCCTGTCTGCTTTTCTGTGCTACTGCCTTGTATGCATGGAGATAGAGCAAGCAGTTGAAGGCTGTATTTCCACTTCATTGCTCAGTGTACATTTTACCTGGAGGTAAAATGTGGCTGTCTGCATGCCTTGATCTAACTTGTGCATGTGCTCTTTCCTATTGGTGCAGCCCTGTCAGTTCCCCATTTCAGGTGCTCTCTAGGGCACTGCTCTTTGGTGGACGCTGTTTTGCTAGTGGGTGGAATCAGCACAAAGGTCACCGGCACCAAGTTTAAGAAGTGCACTTATCTTTACTTAAGTTTAAAGAAGTGAGATAATAAGTGAAATGATATGGCAACAATAAAACAGAACAAGGCAATGCACCTAACCATCACTGCATGAGGATAGTGATAGTGATTAAGAAAAATACATCACCAACTGCCCTAATACTTTACCATCATTCAGATCTGCAGACCATGGGGAGGATTTGGAGCAAGGATTTGGAGAGCCTTTCCTGGTAGCTGGGAGGTCCTATGCAGTGCGTCCACTCATAGGTGATGACTCCAACTTCCCTGCAAGAGGGTCCAGCTTTTACATTGCTGAATAAACAAGTTTACGTGACAGTTAGGTTTAGAAGCACCCATTTAGAACACTGAAAGGAAACAAAGAATGAGTTTTGATTGTGGCAGATCTTAGGAAGTTTGAAAGTGCAAGTGTTGGCTGCGCTCAGATAATCTCCCAAAAATCAGGACACTTATGGGTAGAATGAATTCTTTGTATGAGGTCTTTAAAGTGGCAATGACATTAATCACGTTAGGTCAATTTTCATTCTGACTTGAAATTCGTATTTGTTAGGTCCATCTGTAGTTTCTTCCTTTGATCAGAGGAAACTTAATATGGTTATTCTTTTCAATATCAAACGTCTTTTTTCTTACAATTTTTAAATTGGCACATGTGATTTGGCAAGATGATGTGATTTTTGATGTGATTATGCTGTTATCAACAAAATATTACTTTTGATCAATGCACATTTGATCAAAGCCTCTACTATTTCCCTCCCCTGCCTGCCCTACAAGAAAGACAGAGTAAGTGTTGAAGCATGTTCCTTATGCTGTCTTTTATCCTTCATGTTCGTCCTGAATTATTCCTGTAGAAGGAGATAAAGGAGAAACAAAGACTTTCTCGGGTCATGTTGGTAATCAGCCTACTGAGATGCAAAGGCTGGAGTTTGGAGGAAATTGCTTGGAGCCTGCTGGAAAAAAAGAATATATTATTTTCTAGAGTGAAGCTAATACAGGAAGGCTTGTTCTGTTTTTAAAGCAGTTTTGTCCAACACATTTCTAGTGAAATTTTCATTTAAATTTACTTTTTGTTTTTCATCTCCCCCTCATCTATGTCAATACAACTTTCTTTTTGTCCTTGCTTTCAAGTATTTCCATGATCTTCGTGGAGGGTTTTTAGCATTATTACAACCTGTCTTTACATTCATCCCAGATTACAGTGTTCTATAGTTGAACTCCTGGAGATGAAGATGAATTGTGAACTGAGAAAATCATGGCACCTAATTTCCTGCCTTGGCTATTAATTAAGTAGATGCTGAGCCAAGGATACGGTTGCAATTTGAAGTATTATAATGAATCTTTTTGTTTTCCGCTATAAAGGATCACTGAAAGGGCATTCAGAGCCCCAGAATGATCTCTTTCTAGGGCCTGATCAGAAGTCTATTAAAAATAATAGAAATCCTTCCTCTGTGAGATTTCATTCGAGACATAAATTGTCCTCTTTTCAATTCTGGATAATGGGTACGTCTGTAATTTGTGAAGTCTGTGAAGCTTTTACCAGAATCTTAGTACCACACCTTTAGAAACCTCAGATATACAAGTCACCTTTCGCAGCTGTTTTTGTGCTGCTGCATTGCAAGGTGTTTGGTTCTCCCAAGTTTTGTGGTTTGATTCTGTTGTTCTGACTTCTTTTTATCAGTCTGCTTAATCCAACTTCTTCAAAGGGAGATGTTTATAATAAAAACTAAAAAGGCTGCTGTTCTTTGGAAGTAGTGATTTCCAAAGCATCCCTGAGAAAAGAAGATGAGAGCTGTTGTCTAGCAATGTGATTAATAACATATTTTTTCTTTTTTTTCTCTCCCCTCCTCCCCCCCCCTTATTTTAGCAGCTGAAGGTTCTAAAGTACAAGACAAGAAAGTCACTTCAGGACAAAGCAATACCGGAACTAAACCAGGTATACCATTCTTCATGTTTCACATTGTAAAGCTGTTTGTCTTAATGGTACATTAAAAACGCATGTCTTCCTATGAATTTTTAAGATGTTTCATTTTCCTAAACCTTTCTTATTAAACTCGTATCAGTGACTGTATTTTGTTAGGCTGGAGTCTCTGCTCACAACAGAGCAAAACTAATGTAGTCTTCGTCTGTTTTAGTGCAGTTTAGAAATGAGGGTTCCGAAGTGAGATAAGGTTGCAGAAGTCCCTGTACTTGCATTCGTGCTTGTATTTTCTGCTATAGACAGGGATTTGTAGCTTTATATCAACATGCTTCTGTTTAGAAGTTTCTTCACTTACTGTGCTGTAAGACATATTTTGTAATATACCCTGTGCAGTAAGCAGATGCGTGCCCAGACTCTGCCCAATTGGTATATTGTATGGATTTAATTCACTATTCACTAATGCTGCACTTGCATGGTAGCAGTTTCTGTACAAAAATGCTTAATGTAATCCTTAATGCCACAAGTCTGTTGCACTCATGTGCTTAGACCAAGATCCAAAAGATCACTCAGAAATTTAAATTCTTCCTGTACTAGAACTCAGGCACCCAAGCTTAAAATGTTCCATTAATAATGCTGAGAACATGCAGGTGTTGTGTTGCTGCAGGCTCAGTGCATGGTAAGCAGTCCAGTTTCAGCTTCTGAGCAGTCTGGCAGCTCAGTGGCTGCTTTGTGCAGAGGCTTCACTGTGCCTCAGCTGGATGCCTTTGGGCTCCATCCCTGGGGGAAGCAGTCCAAGGGCTGTCTGACAGAGCTGAACAGAACTGGATGCAGCACATGGATCAGCATTCCTGGTGGCTCCCAGTTGGGCAGTGGAATGAAGGGTAGGGAAGGGAATAGTGATAACATGACAAAAAAAAAAAAGAAAAAAAAAAAAAAGAAAAAAATTGAATGGTATTCAGTATATACTTTGTCCTGCAGTAGTTTAATCTCAGTCCTTCAAGTCTCAGGAAGGTGTCCTGGCTGCTCCCATGCTCCCTCCGTCTGTGCTGCAGTGTAGAAGGGAATACAGGATCCCTAAAATGAGTGTTCAGCTCTGCACTCAACTGATGAGAGCCTCTGTGCTGAACTGAGGATTCCTGAGCTGTATTTTTCCTGAGGCTGCATACAAATTTTGTGTCAAACATTGTTTTGGTTTAAAAATGGAGACTGCAGCTGGAGTGAAAGCTGTCATTACAAACAAAGTTATTATCTGGAAGGTGTCTGCAGGCTGAACAAATATTTGGAGACCAAGAGTAACATCGGCAGCTCTGAATCTGTGTGTGGGAGTGTACAGGGATCTAGGCAGGGGGAATAATTTTTGAGATCCAAGCACAAATCTTTTTAAAGGATGCAGTGGCTTACATATTTCTCCCAGAAGCTCCCCTGTGAATTAGCATACAAACTGGCTGTGGTTTTCCACTCTGACTCTTTTAGTTTCATTAGCACAAGAAATTGCAACACTAGGAATCGGGGACAGAAAGAAAGTGGCCATTTGTGAGAGGAGACTGAGAGAATTGGAGGTGGATGTGAAGAATGGTAGGAGGCTGAGGTACTTCTCAAGTCCCACTGAGAGCTGCTGACAGTTGCCAGAGCTGTAGAAACTGCCATATGTAATAATTACATATGCCAACTAGGTTGGGAATTTTTTCTAGGTTACTGATTGCTACGAATGCCAACTGTGCTTAGGAGTTCAGTATTCCTTACATAGAAGCTTTGAAAAGTTTGCATTTTCCTTTTCTTATCATGATTAAGGACCAACAAAGTCTGTTTCGTTACTAAATTTCTGAGAGAAGAGAAAAAAAACCAAGCCCCCACCGCAATACTAATAACTTCTAAGCTCCTTAAGCAGAATGATAAAAACTCACAGTAGATGCCATGAGTTCATGAAAAACACCATTCCGCCATTTGGACATATAGTTTTAGTGTTTAGTTTCCAGCAATAGGTAAAAAATTCATTTCCTCTTACTAGAACTGTGGCTTACTTAATCTCTAAACATCTCTCTTGGGCATAATGTTAATCTTTTTTATATTCTATCTTACAGCTCTGCTTATTACAAAGCTATTTAGCTGTAGTGAAACAGACTTCTGAGCATGAGTTCACATGCGTCACATCATACCCAGACTGCGCCTTGTTACAGCAGCATGCTGGTCCTCCTAAAGCGTCCAAAGTCCTAAGGCTGTGGACATCTTTGTGCCAATATTAATTTTCTCCTTTGTGCACCCAAATATACATATATTAAAGAAAAATGAAAAACAACAAAAAACAGCTTGTTGTTGAATATATACATGCTTATATTCTGCATAACCTTTAGCTTAATGTGAATTCTTCACGATTGTTCTAACATCCTTGGGGTGCTGGGAGAGGCTGTGTGTGTGAGCACCATCAGGTGTGTGATACAGGAAAATAATTGGATGTCTTCAAACAGAATGTCAGAGGGCAGTTTTAAAAATTTATTTTATTCCTCCTATTGCTTATAATTAGGAATTCTTACAGGAGACCTTTTCAGTTTGCCTGTCCGCATAACCTTCTGTCTCTTTGAAGACTCGCTTCTTCTCCCTTGATAGGGAAGTCTCTAAGAAAGTAGGAAAAAAAGGAAGATGGTACATTTTGAAAGAACAGGGTTTCACGTTATTCCCTAGTGACTCATCATTCTCTGACAACTTGAAGTTACACTGACAACTCTTCATAGGAATCCTTGTTTTCCAGGAAAATTCATATTGGTGGTGCACTATTCCACTAACACTAATTACTGATGCTGCAGAAGTTCGTGTTCTGTGTCCTGTGTGCCAGCCACAAGAGAGAAGGAATATTATTACCCTTTTCACCTGCATCTGCATGCTGAAGAGGCAGCATGCAAGCCAGTGCACTTCTTAATATCAACCAAGTGTGACTTTGCACTGTACATTGGACAAATCTATGTGCTGGCATGGTTAGCAGTAGTTACATAAATGGCAGCACTGTGTGCTGTTTAACCAGAGTTAAAGGTTCGATCTGTAACTGGGTGATGGATTGTCTTTCACTTTGTTGGTGACTTTTTCATCTTTTGTACCTTTCGTTGGGGCTTTAATGTTTAAGTGTTTGTCTTCCTAAAAACTGTGCGTTGGGATTTTAATGAGGTTCAACACGGCAAAGTGCAAGGTTTTGCATTTGGGCCGGAAGAACCCCAGGCACCCGTACAGGCTGGGAGGAGTGGTCCTTGAGAGCAGCTCGGCAGAGAAGGACCTGGGGGTCCTGATGGACGAGAGACTGAACATGAGCCAGCAGTGCGCTCTGGCAGCTCGAAAGGCAAATGGGATCCTGGGCTCCATCAGGAGAGGGGTGGTCAGCAGGGAGAGGGAGGTGATTGTCCCTCTCTACTCGGCTCTTGTGAGGCCCCACCTGGAGTACTGTGTCCAGGTGTGGAGCCCTCAGTACAAGAAAGACATAGAGATCTTGGAAAGGGTCCAGAGGAGGGCGACTAAGATGATCAGGGGGCTGGAGCACCTCCCCTATGAGGACAGGCTGAGGGAGTTGGGCTTGTTCAGCCTGGAGAAGAGAAGGCTGCGGGGCGACCTCATTGCAGCCTATCAATACCTGAAGGGAACCTACACCCAGGAGGGGAGTAAACTCTTCAGAAGGGCTGACAACAGCAGGACTAGGGGAAATGGATCAAAGTTGAAGGAGGAAAGATTTAGGTTGGATGTTAGGGGGAAGTTCTTCACAAGGAGAGTGGTTAGGCCCTGGAACGGGCTGCCCAGGGAGGTTGTGGATGCCCCATCCTTGGATGTGTTCAAGGCCAGGTTGGACGGGGTCCTGGGCAACCTGATCTGAATGTGGATGTTTGGTGGCCCTGCTAGGCAGGGGGGTTGGAACTACATGATCCTTGAGGTCCCTTCCAACCCAGGTGATTCTGTGATTCTGTGATTCTGTGTGATTCTGTGATTCTTTTCAAACCTCATTTTTTTACATAGTTTTGCCAGCAACTTTTTTCTTTCTTATGCAGCCTATACACACAAATAGATGGACTTGGCATGTTTGTACAGATTGCTTATTGGTATTCACATTGAATAAAGAAAAGCATATTAGTTTATATATATTAGTTTATATATAGTTATATATATATTCTTATACATATATATAGTTATATGTGTGTGTATTTTGTATGTTTCTAGAGTGATTGGAAGTTCTACATAGTTGTTCACTTCAAAATGAAATATTAAAAGAATATTAAATATTAAAAGAATTGAATTCCCATCAGTATAGGAATAAATCAAGCCATTTCATTATACCCTGAAAACTTTTCTGTTTTTGTGTGGTTGTTTTGGTTGCTTATTTTTTGTTCAAAGCAGACTTTCTCAGTGTTAGTGAAAAAAACATAAAATCAACAGCTTTCCAAGTTTACAAAATAGGCTGAAGATGAGTAGGAAATTAGTTTTGGCAGCATGCTGGGATGAATCAGTAACTAAGATTTTGTTCCCATTTGGTCTTTGGCTCCACTGCTGAGACTGGAAGTGTGATGTTAGCTATTTAGCATTTTGTTGTTTTCCAGATAACTCATTTTGTCGCACACTCACCAAGTAGTATTTTTCCAATCAAACATGAATTTTTAGTTAAGCCTAAGCTCTGACACAGATTTTTTCATGTTATCTTTGATCTTATCACTGTGATCCAGTAGCAGGTATTTTAAAAAAAATTCTGTGACTCAACATTTCAAAAGATAGCTGAGGAAATCGTCTCTTTCTTTACTGTTATTGTATCATTCCATGTATGTGATGCACTATCTTAATGTGTCTGTCATAGCTTTTAACACACTCACACAGTATCAGTAGGAGATCAATATCATGCCACCTTGATTCTTACTCTTCAGAAGTTCAGCCGGGACTGCTGTAGTGTTTGATCCAACCTGCTGTGCGTATGTACTGAGCTTCTTCAACCTTGTGAAATAGAAGTGGCTTGATTTTTTTCGATTGTTTGGTGGTTATTCCCCTAGGAGCTTTCTTTTGTTGCTATTTGATTTCGTACTATATGATTAATATTTCCCCCCCTTCCATTTGCAGACCACCCACCAATACTGAAGGTTGATGACAGGCAACGGCTTGCTAGAGAAAGGAGAGAAGAACGAGAAAAACAACTAGGTAAGCCCTACTCTATATCATTTCTTAATAAACTCAGGTATTTTTCTTCTTTTTTTGTGAAGTAAAACCTTGAATATGTGTCAAATATTGCTCAGTATCATATACAGTGTCACCTGTCCATGAGCGTGCGTAACACTACTGAAATGAATTCTTAGGTGAAGGTTGCTTAAGAAGTAGCTAGTGATGGGCCATGTACGGAGTGTGGTAGTGAGAGGATTATCAAATTAGTAAAAACCAAATTGTTATGCCTACCAGATATCAAATCCTAAAGATGTTTTGACCTACTACATGCTACTCCAGTTTGCTGTGACCTTCCAGTCCTATGGTGCTTCTGGCTTCCTTCTCCACAGGCAGTAAAGAGGGGCAGTGCCATTAGCTGACCTCTCTTGGTCTGCTTGGGAATGACTGAAGCTAAGCTGATGTCCTTGTCCTTCGACTAGATGGCTTGTTCCTCATCACAATCCCAGGAAAGCAGAACCAATAAAAAAAAAAAGCCCACAATAACATATAGGATAACTCTGGGAGTCAGATTAGAGGTTCAAAGCTAGAGGTTCCTTTTTATCTTGGTGAAGGTGATGCCAGAGAGGCTGAGAAGCATGAGCTTAACGAAAGAAAAATCTCAATCCACAGCCCCTTCCTGGAAGCCTCAAAGATATTACACTGATATGGTGTGCTGGTAGAGAGACTTTATAGGTATGATAGAATTCAGATGGTCTTGTTTATAGCTGCAAGTAGTTAGACTTTGCCAAAAATGTGGTTTACTGTCCATTTTGCACCCACTTTTTAATAGGACTGCTAATTATGCTTGAAAATACAGTGAAAGAAGCTTATCTTGTTTTGATTTGTTCAAAATATTTTTCCATTTTTCCTCAAGTGGGTTTTCATATCACAATTGAAAATGGCTAGATTTTTTTTTTTAACTGAGATGTACACAAACAGAGAACCTACCTGTGCATAAAATATTGGTTATTAATTTTTGTGGGGTTTTTGTTTGTTTTTTCTTTTTTATTCAAGAAAAAGTTACTCATTTCTGGAGAGTTTTGGTTGATAAAGCTGAAAAGTGAAGCCTTCAGTACAGGCAAACCAAGTTAGGTTTATAAAGACAGTATTCTTTTAGCTTTGCATATAACAGTTTATATGCAGTGTTTCAACATATGCTCACAATGGAATTGAGTCTGGAATTTTTTTTGTTTGTTTTCCCCACAATTTGAACACTTCTGCTCTCCTCAAAGCATTTAGGTCTTAAATACCACTACACACCTTCATTTCTCATTACGTTTGTGAGTTAAAGGTATTTAAGAGAAAACTTCTTAGCCAGAAGCAGCCCAGGAGATAAATATTCAGTATTTATTATACACCTGATCTTCCTTTTTGGCATCCTGTGTATGATCAGGAAAACACACAGAATTTAATCAGCAAGTATGTGCTTCTGCATGTAAACAGCAGGAATTGCATCAGATGAGCCAAGGTTTCAGCTCCAAGCAGGGTTCTGTTGTTGCTGGGTTACTTGATAGCAGTGCTATGTTGCATGCTTTACTAGTGCAATTGCAGAAGCGGAGAATGTAAGTGTGTTTCATTTTGCACACACTACTGGATGATAACTGTGAGGCACTAGAAGTCGGAAAGAACCTGAGCATCAGAAATTGGAAGGCCTGGCTGCTGTTTCAGATGAGTATTGTTGTCAACTTCAGTGCTCCTTTAACACAGTGAGATACTGTGAGATACTCATAGAACCATTGAATGGTTTGGGTTGAAAGGGCCCTTTGAGATTATCTAGTTCCAACCCCCTACTACAGGCTGGGATACCTCCCTTTAAACCATCTAGCCTGGCCTCGAATGCTTCCAGGGAGGGGACATCAACAATCTCACAGGGTAACCTTTTCCAGTGTCTCACTACCCTCACAGTAAAGAATTTATTCCTAGTATCTAGGCTAAATCTGCTCTCTTCCAGTTTAAAATGATTTCCCATTGTCCTGTCGCTAATTGCCCTTAAAAAAAGTCCCTCCCCAGCTTTCCTGTAGGCTCCCTTCTGGTACTGGAAGGCTGCTATAATATCTCTTCAGAGCCTTCCCTTCTGCAGGCTGAAAAGCCCCAGATCTCTCAACCTCTGCATAGGGGAGGTGCTCCAGCCCCCTGATCATCTTTGTGGCCCTCTTCTGTACTCCCTCCAACAGCTCAGTGCCCTTGTGTTGAGGTCTCCAGAACTATACATAATACTCCAGGTGGGGACTCATGAGAGCAGAGTAGAGGGGCAGAATCACCTCCCTTGATCTACTGGTCATGTGTCTCTTGATGCAACTCAGGATGCAGTTGGCCTTCTAGGCTGCAAGTGCACACTGCTGGCACATAGAGTCTTTCATCAACCAACACACCCAAATCCTTCTCCTCAGGGCTGCGCTCAAGCCCTTCTCCACCCAACCTGCATCTGTACTTCCTTAGTGAGAGCAAAATTCTCATAGTTCTGAAGTCAGCTTTCTCTGGGTCAGAGAGGTTTTTGGGTCCTGGGGAATGGGCTCCATTATCTCAAAGCTTGTTCAAGGTACAAATTGCTTTTCATTATTATTACCTGCCTATCGTGCAGTATTAACCAACTCAGACTATTTTGCCACATAATTTCCTATGCCGTATAAGAAAAATAAACAGGGACATAAATTAGTCACACCACTTAGTGCACTGACTTAATGGTGTTGCAGGCAAATATATATTGAACAGTTACTTGTCAAGATATTATGTTCTTAGTCAGACTTTCAAGTAATAACACTCATGAGTTCACATGGCAACTTGGCTCTTGACTGCTCCTTGCATTCTTTCCTTAGCAGTGCATCTGATGTGAGCTAGAAGCAACTCTAGGAAAGCCACACAGTAAAAAAAGAAGATGAAGAGTTATTTAATGCTCCAGTGAAACTCTGGCTATACTTTAAAACATCTACTTTCTCTGTTAATGTAGACTAGTGTGTGCAGGACCAGGCTCTCAGAAGAACTGCTATTGGATTTTTCTTTCTGGCAGTGGTCTCAGAAATAACTAGGTGCCGAGACCTTTCCCCAGACCTGTTACCTTAAGCTTAGTTGGTGTTGAGTATGTGTTAGATCCAACCCCACCTCACCACACCTTCCCTTCAGGTAGTTACAGAAAATGATTAGGTTTCCCCTGAGTCTTCTCTTCTCCAGAATAAACAATCTCAGTTCCCTCAGCTGCTCCTTCATAAGACTTCTGCTCCAGACCCCTCACCAGCTGTGTTGCCTTTCTCTGGACATGCTCCAGGGCCTCAATGTCTTTCTGGTAGTGAGTTCCCAAAACTGAACACAGTACTTGAGGAGCAGTCTCATCAGGGCTGAGTACAGAGCCTCCCTACTCCTCCCTACTCCTTCTGGCAGCACTGAAGCCAGGATGCCATTGGCCTTCTTGGCCATTCGGGCACATTGCTGGCTCATGTTCAGCCAAGTGTTGACCAATACCCTCGCATCTGCTTCTTCTGCAGTTTTCCAGGTGCTATGAGCCAAGCCTGTAGTGTTGCCAGGGGTTGTTGTGGCCAAAATGCAGGACCCAACACTTAGTCTTATTGAACTTCATCCTGTTGGCCTCAGCCCAGCTGTCCAGCCTGTCCTGATCTCTCTGTAGGGCCATCCTACCCCCAAGCAGATCAACATTTCCTCCCAACTTGTGTCATCTGCACACTTACTGAGGGCACACTCAGACCCCTCATTATGGTTGATTAGTACAACTAGAGAAAGCTTACTTGGAACTTCAGGTATTGGGACTAGACTGCTTGTCAGCAGCATAATTGAAGTTTAAGCAAGCCATTACTTGGTAGAATTAAGTATGCCCACTCCCACTCTCTGGTGCACTGAAAATTTAAGTCATATAAACTGATAAAAGGAAAAGGGACTGCTGCCCTTGAGTTGCAAAGCAGTAGCTATGTGACTGGGGGAATATTATCATGTTACAAATCAAATATTTGATGTTGCAGTCAGTGGGAAATTCAAGTAAAATGTGTTTTATTCAGTCTCTTCAAACTGATCAGCACCATAGGGGGAGGAAAGCTGATCTCATATAGGATATACATGCATAACCACACAGAATCAACCCACATGATGTAGGTAATGATGATTCCCTGTCAGGGACTTGTGTGTTGCTGTTTTGATTTGATGGTGGTTTTTTTTAATGCTAGGCTTGTCAATATGAGAATGGCCTTTAGAAACTCACCTTCCTCTATTTCATAGAATCATTTGAGTTTGAATGGATCTTAAAAGACTGTCTGATCCAACTCCCGTGCAATGAACAGGGACACCTACAGATAGATCAGGTTGCTCAGAGCCTTGTCCAGCCTGACCTTGAATGTCTCCAGGGACACAGTATCCACCATCTTGCTGAGCAACTTGTCCCTCACCACTCTTACTGTAAAAATTTTTATCCTTATGTCCAGTCAAAATTTAATGGACTGTGGCTTGAAACCTTTTTGAAGGCATATGCAACAACCTGGAAATAGGTGGGTTATTTGGTGTTTTTTTGTGTGTGTGTCCTAAAATGCATTCATAGAAAGAAGAAATCTCTTAACTCTGCAGTACAGCACTCTTCAGATGTCATTCTTTTTCATTCTTGTGTCAGTGTGACTCTCTTTTCTCAGTTCATAGTGATCTTTAAAAGATTGCAAAAAGTACTGTGTAGTTAGACATGCAAAACATCATTTCACAATGGGACACATTACACAAACACTGTTTAGAACCTTTCTAATCCCTTACTGCCAAAGTCTTAAATGCAACTGCCACCAGTCACATTGCCTGGGATAAAATAGAAATTTTAACAGTACTATTTTAAGTGGTATTTTGAGAAAACAAAGTTTTTATTCCTGTTTTCTATATTTTTTAATTTCATAAAACTGCATTGTAACTCCAGCTAGAATTATACTTTTTCTAATCTGGAGAGCTCTGGTTTATTGCCATCTAGGTTTTACTAATATTAACATCCTTCATCAGCAATGTGTTCTAACTTTGTGCTAGCC